TGGAAAATACAGCATCAAATAGAGAATGATGTAAAGAAATTTGGAGTCCTCTATTGCATACCCCACAGATTGGGCAGCTAGTGACCAAATGAACAGTGACATGGTTAAAATCACAGGATACAAAGCCAGGTGGCTTGGGTCAGAATCCAGGTGCAGCTGTCCACTTACTTTCATGCTACATGCCTGTGGTTAAGTTACTCTCTACTTTTTTTCTAAATTTTTAAATTAATGTTTAAAACATTTTTTACATCATTGTTCATTTTTAAACAATATTTGCTTTCCCCAACCCCCTCAGGTGTAGTCCCCATAGAGTTTCCTTCACCAATGTACCCATCACCTCAGTCCCCTGTGCTCCTCCCTCCTTCCCTCTGATCCCTCTCCCATCATGTCCCCTGCAGGATGGAACACAGACAGTTTGTTCAATAAATGGTTCTGGGAAAACTGGACCACCACATGCAAAAAAAATGAAACTAGACCACTACCTCTCACCGTGCACAAAAATCAACTCAAAATGGATAAGAGAATTGGACATAAGACCTGAAACCATAAAATATATAAAAGAAAATAGGTAAAACACCACAAGACATACATCGCAATAACATCTTTAAAGATTCCTCACCCAAAGCAAAGATAGTCAAGGAAAAGTCTATCTGGGATTACTACCTGGGATTACATCAAACTGAAAAGCTTCTGTACAGCAAAAGAGACATTAACCAAAACAGAGAGACACCCCACTGATTGGGAAAAAAAAAATAAACTGATAAGGGACTGATCACAAAGATATACAAAGATCTCACACAACTCAACAAAAACAAAATAAATAATCCAGTGGAGAAATGGGCAGAAGAACTTTAAAGACATTTCTCCAAAGAGGAAATGCATGTGGCCAACAGGCATGTGAAAAAATGTTCAACACCCCTTATCATGAGGGAAATGCAAAACAGAACCACATTGAGATACCACCTTACACCAGTAAGAATGGCACATATCAAAAAAAAAAAAAGCAACAACAAATGTTGGCGAGGATGTGATGAAAAAGGAACTCTCCTACATTGCTGTTGGGAGTGCAAACTGGTCCAACCATTATGGAAAGCTGTCTAGAGGTTCCTCAGTCTACTAAAAATGGAGCTACCATACGACCTGGCAATTCCACTCCTAGGGATCTACCCAAAGGACACAAAAACATTGATTCAAAAGACCACTCCTCTGTTTATTGCAGCACTATTTACAATAGATAAAACCTGGAAACAACCCAAATGCTCCAAAATAGATGATTAGATCAAGAAGATGTGGTATATATACACAATGGAATATTATTCAGTAATCAAAAAAGATAAACTCATGTCATTTGCAGCAACGTGGATGGAGCTCAAAGGAATTATATTCAGTGAAATAAGCCAGAAGGAAAAAGACAAATATCAGATGGTTTCACTTATAGCAGGAATATTGGGGAACCAAATAAGATATCAGTATAAAAAAATAATGGTACAAAACACAACAGAGCAAAAACAGACAATTATAAATCTCTCTATTTTAAATATGCTGTGTATTTCCTGTAGAACTTGACTGACACAGCAAATATGCTCTGCTGAACTCAAAAGAGTAAGGGGAGAATTAATGTGAAAATGTTTATAGTAATGAAATTGAAATATGGAGAATTATTATTATATTGTTTTTGCAAGGTATTTTTAGTATAGTATAAAGGAGTTGGGGAAACTACCTTTTAGAAAAATTCGCTGTCAAATCATCAATATTTTCTAATATTAAAAGGTGATTCAGATAGTAGAGAGATAAGTTTAGCTGTTTCCTTTTGTTTTTGTAAATGGAATGCTGATTTATCAATTTCAGGTTTTAAACAACTGAACTGAATGAACAAAATGTTTTGGACTTTAAGATTTGGTAAAATTGGGCCTCCCCTGGTGGTGCAGCAGTTGAGCGCTGGATTGCAAAGCTGCCCACAGCCTCTGAAATGCTGGTTCGATCCCTGGCCACTGGTGAGGGTCCCACATAGCGCGCAGACCTCTCCTGCCACCTGCTGCTCCCCTCAGCAGTGTACTTTGGTCCTTCTGCCTGCTCTGCTCCCTGCTCTGGCTCTGGTGAATTCTCTCACTCTCCCATGCTTCTGACTGTACCCAGTGCTTGTATGAATAAATAAATAAATCTTAAAAAAAAAAATATTTGGTAAAATTGCCCTGGAAAATATCTTGATCTGTTTGTGTTTTTGTTTTTATTGGCATATTGATAAAGTGAACACAACTTTTTCATGGTAATTGGGCTGTTTAGTTTCTTTTGGAGTCCATATTCACAAATTATTGATTTCTAAAATTTGTGAAATTTTTCCTGTGTCTCCAATTTATCTATTTAGAGTTCAAAAAATAGTTTCCAATATAAGTTCCTCTATTTTGGTGGGGACTGGTGAGTGAGGGGTGGCAATAGTGCAAGAAGAGGAAGCTGAATGTGGAAAACTGTTCCAATGCTGCCTTGGACAAGTTTTGTAAATTCCCTTACTTATTACCCTGCCAAACAGAGCAGTCTTTCACTCTTCTTGCCCTTCCTGTAGGGGGCCAGTTTCAGATTAGATCTGGATAAAGACCGAGGTGCCAAAAGTCCTATTATATTATGCTCTTTTTTATAAAAGAGCATTTTGAATTTTCATTCATCAGGTTATTTTTGTACTAATATTTTTTATACAAAAAGGCTAGTCTTCTCTTTTCAGTTTTTATCTCTTATTCTTTAATAAAAGATTCATTCAGTTTAGTTAGTAGTTTTTCTTCATGTTCCCAAGTAACTATGTGTTGGGATAGGCCATTTTTCCCAGTTAATAAGTATGAAGCAATCAAAAATTCATTCTAAATTTTATATGCTCCCATTATTGTCTCTGATTTGTTTGATACATTATTGTATCCATATTTTTAGACAGTATAATTATAACATATGCATCTTTTTTCTGCACCATTATTTCACTTTATTTCTAATGTTATGCTTAAACCAATTCTTATGATAACTTTCCAGTATTCCGGTTGCCTGAAGAAACTCATTTAGTAACTTCCTTAAGAAATACTCATAGGAACACGTTTCTATTTTTTGTAGGTCCATAATGGTTTATTTGTAGCTTTTTTTGCGTTTATTTTTTACTAATTATTTTCTTACATTGTTGTTAGATAGATTATATCTCCTACTATAGTATCTTTTTGTGATACATCCCAAAGAAATCCTTATGTGAAACCTCATATAGATTACATATGATACTGATTTAATATATATTTAGCACATATGCTACTACAGCTGTATTTACAAGTATTTACATATAACATTTATATATTGATATTCAAATTATTTTATAGGTTATGTTGCAAGATCCAAGAATGAAAGAAACAATATTTATTAGAAACTTCCACTTTCTTTTCTGGAACTTTATTTATTCCTTAGATTTCCATAGCCTTCTGTGAATTGCTCTGAAACATGTATCTTCTTGCTTTGTATTAAAATTCATTATACATATTTTTGTGTTTCTTATTAATATGTCATTTTTCTAAGGGATAGAGAGTGTATTTCCTCCTCTTTTCCACCAGAACCCAACACAGTGCTTAAAACATAACTGAAACTAATTTGTATTTCTTTAATTAAAACAGACTCTGAATTTCAAAATACAGGTGTGAGATCATTTTTTAATTACAGGCAGTATGAACTATAGTCCTAAAGTGTTGATTTTATTCAGTATTACTCTTAGAATATTTCAGAGCAGTGCACTAGAATATTGCATCCTATTTTCTAAGAATCATGGCATATAGCATAGTCACAGAACTATAAACAATCACAAGTCCTGGAACTCCAAGTAAGTAGGTAACTGGGGCACAGGGTATGAAGACAGGCACATATAGAAATGAGGTGCCAGATTATAAAATCCTTTGTAGGATTTAATAAGGAGTTTGTTTCTCTCTTGTGAGCAATGGAAACATTTCCCAAAGAGAATTTTGGATTAGATGATCTCAAGGTGACAGAATAAATGACACATTGTTGATAAAGAGGTGGTACTGATGATGGAAATGGAGATGAGGAAAGACTGGAGGAAAAATATGAAAAAATTTAGTCTAGAATTAGTAAAGTCTTACAAGGGGAGGATATACTGGAGATACATAAGATACAAAAAAATAGTGCTTAGAGAATTTAGTGAAAAATTAAATATTTAGCGTAAGCAAGAGGAATCCCAGTGAGCAAAACATTCCGAGTAAATTCTCCAAATTCCAGACTTTGAAAAATGGGGGGTTTCTTGTACCATTGTTAATATGAAATGTATAATATGAAGAACAGACATCAGAAAATGAATTAATTTTGCAGTGATTTTTTAAAGTACTGATTGTTAATGATTAAAGGGAAAATGAACACTTTAATTCTGTAATAATAACAAACATCTTAAAAGGTATTCTGATTTTACAGTGGTAAGATACCTGTTTTATAGGTACATAAGCTGAGGAATACAGAGGATAAAATTCTCATACATGTCACATGGTTAGTAATGATGAGATATTTGACTTTAATGTGTTCTAACTCTTAGTCCTGAGAGCTCTTCACTACCTCTTTGTAATGTGAGTACACTCATTCACATGTTTTGGAAAACTTTATACCCCGATAAAAATAAAAATGATGTTCTGCTTACCTCTATTATATAGAATATTTATTTGTCTGAAAAATTTATCCCCTACATTTAGCACACACATCCTCCTTCATTTCCCAAATACTCTAATTAATGTCTTACAATAACTTTTATATCCATGGGCAACAGAATCTTAAGTGACATTATGACAACAACATTTATACATATAGTTTCTGTCATTTTTTCCCATAAACAGTTATTTCTAAAATCTTACTATGAACCTCATAAGTTAGCTAACACACTATCAAATCACTCTACCTATAAAGTTTTCATTGTATTTTTTTTTATTTGGAAGTCTGTTTCTGGGTCCATATTAGGAGAATTAGAAAATGCAAATGTCACTTACCTCTGTTTACCTTTATGATCTACCGAGCCAGCTGAGAGTCTGTCCAGAGGAGACCCAAAGCCAGAGAAGCTTCTTTTCTTCTTTGTTTCAATCACATCATTTTCCAGTGACACAAGTTCATCAAGAAGCAAGAGTTTTGCTGCCAGATCAGTGGCTGATTTTTCTTCTCTGAATGCGGGGGGTGACTGCTCATCTATGACTCCAGAATCAAAAGCCTATGGGGCACAAAAGGAGATTTCATTTTTTAAGAAAATTAAATCTCAAATATGCACATACCTGTGTTTGGCTTTTGCTACCTTTAGCAGACAGGCTTTTCAGCTAAACATGATTTCTCAGGTGATTGTTTACCAGGGAGAAAGACTTTGGGGCTAAAACACATAGAGTGAAGTATATACAAAAGAAATTAAAGCAAAACAAAACATATGTACTTTTATGTGTACAACACACACACACACACACACACACAGAATGAAGGTCTGCTGCTAAAGCTTTATATATTAACAGATCATTCTTTCAGATTCTCAAAATCCTTATCATTCTCACAGTACTTTCTCCGTACTTTCATTATTGCACTCACTACTTTTTCTTCCTATATAATATTGTCTATATTTGTAATGATTGTGAGCTTGTAAGTTGAGGGCAAAGACTGTATCTAATTAGTGTTTCATTTCTTCTAGTCAATATTAGCCCAGTATTTTTTTCATTGTCAGTATACAATAAATTTCTGATGAATATTTACTGCAAGAGTTGTAAAATAACTAAACCCTATTCTGTCTCCACTCATTCATTCTTTACTGGATCAAAACATGATCCAGTATGCCAATATGTATCAGGTTCTGCATTAGATACAAAAATATCCAGAATCCAGTTTCTCCTCTCAGGGAACTTGCCATCTCCATTAATATATCATGTGATATATTAATAAATATTAATGCGTGTTTACAGTGAATTAGAGCTATCCCATGACTTCATTATTTCATGTAAAATTTCTTTGCATGTTTGTTTGTGTTATATATATTACTTTCAGTTCGTCCAAGTCATAAAAGTATGGGTTCCAGTTTGTGAAGTCTGTCCTTTCCTAGGCCCAAGGACAGCATTTAAAAAAAAATTACCCTGTTAAGAATTTCTGTTGTTCAGGAGATACTACTTCTTTTCCAAGAGCCTGAGAATGTTTCCTTATGGGAATAAATGTTAGCTCAGGGAGCTCTTCCATTTCCCCACTTAGTTACATTTTCCCACGAGCCAGAGTCTTGGATCATTTTTCTTAACTTCCTGTCTTTCTTCTTACATTATTTCTTCCATTCGCTCCATTTCCTCCAAGAAAATGAGCACCCAGACTTTTTGAATCCTTTTCATCATCAACTAGAACATTTTTTTTTTTTTTGAAATACTTAGTCTGACTCATAAACCTAAAGCTATTGAGCTTTCTTATTCCTAAACCAATCAACTCCATAGTAAGTCTGCGTAGTTCATTTTGGAAAACTGCTCCTGCTCTTTCTGATTCCCATAAGGAGTGACTTACATTGGATCCTTTTCAATGTTCCATGCACATTTTTAAATGATCTTAAAATTCGCTTCTCTATCTCCTGCCTCCCTTTCTTCTCTATCCAATTCTGAATACTGCCATGAAGTTAATTATCTCCAATACCAATTTTACCATATAAAAAGAAAATTAAAAAGCTTCCATAGCTTTTTATTACTTACAGTGCAAAATCTGCAGCATGGTTCCAAATCCTTCTTAAAATCTCAACTTCTTTCACTTCCCTATATAATCCTGACAACAGAGAATTGTGGGGGAGGGGATGCTAAAATTATGGGAAAAAATCTCTAAAAGCAGGAGCAAAATCTTCAAAAGGCAAAGATCATTTTTAAATGACCTCTCAGAGAATCTTCCCAAATATGTTTTTGGTTTTCAAATTGACACAGATAATAGAGTTTTGCTTCTTTTAAAATACATTTTCAGGGCCTCCCCGGTGGCGCAGCAGTTGAGCGCTGGTTTGCGAAGCTGCCCACAGCCTCAGCAGCGCCGGTTCGACCCCCGGCTGCTCCCCAGCCGCTGGAGGAGGGTCCCACATGGCGCGCAGACCTCTCCTGTCGCCCGCTGCTCCCCTCAGCAGTGTACTTTGTCAGTCTGCCTTTTCTGCTCCCCGCTCTGTCTCTGGTGAATTCTCTCACCCTCCCGTGCTTCTGACTGTACCCAGTGCTTGTATAAATAAATAAATAAATCTTTAAAAAAAATAAAATAAAATGTATTTTCGATCCTCAGGGAAAAATTCAAATCACTTGTACAAAACTCTTTCTTTGGTAAAGTGCATTTCACACACTTACTTTGTTATTTTGAGAAGTACAAAGAATAATCTCATAAGATCAAATAAGCCAAATGAATTATTCGGTGGATGGAGCTGTCTTCATATTTCTTTTCCTTTGTATTTTATTCATGGCAGCAAGAAAACATTTACAGTTTTGTTGTTACGATGCAACAAAAAATTAGCCAAAGCTGCTCAAATTTTGACATGTAAATTTTACATTTCAATTTGATATAATTGATTTAATTTTTAATTTTACTGAACTAATAATGAATTTTCTCTGCTTTTCTTGTTCAAGGAATGCAAATATTTGCTACTGCTTTCAGCTTTTTTTTTTAATAGCATAAATAAAGGATTTTCTCTGATTCCATGGTGAGTACAAGACATTAAAAATTGACTCTTTCTTGATTTTGTGTTATCAAGACATTTCCCTATTTGTCAGCTCCACTTGCTTCTGACACCAGTCAAAAAAAATATGTGATCCCTTAAACTAGTTGTATTTACCTCTGTTGCTATATCCACTGAGAGCACCTTTCCTGAGCTCCACAGCATCAATGTCACAATCAGGATAAAATGTGCACTTGCCAGTCTCCAGTCCAGCATCTAAGGGTCATATGCATCAGGGTTAACATTAGTTAGTTAGAAAGAAAACAAATGTTCCTATAAACTTGTTAGAGGCAAGTGACAAACCAAGTTATTCAACTTCAGTATACTGGGGTATGTGTCTGCAAAACTTCAATAATACTTAATAGGACCTGTCAATCTACGAGGATGACTTCTGTCAGGGCTTCATTTCCATGGAAACCCTAGACCCGGGTTGTACAACTATAATCATATTTTAATTCAAAGTAACCATGTCTAGTTTGTATTACTTTATTCTCTGCCTAATCCAGGGATTGCAACCTCAGGAACGTAAAAGGAAATGTGTAAAAGTTGTCAGCTATGTCAGAAAAAGAAGTGGTGGGGGGTTTTGATAAAACAGAAAGGATGTGCTTTGTCTCTATGCATTTAAATTCAAAATTTCAAAATGCCACATATGTGTTAGAATAATTTTAAGTCCTTGTGTTATGTAAGGATTTCTTAAGCAAGACTTAAAACGTAGAGGTCTTGTTAAAAAAAAATTACCTAATGTCACTTTGTCAAAATTAAAAATTCTGTATATAAGATAAAAACAAACTACAAATAAATTAAATTTGGTATATAAAAATGGTATATATTTTCAGCTTATAAAAATAAATATTTAAGTAACACAGAACAGTAAAATTAAAAATAGACACACAAATAAAAATGGGGAAAATTACCAATGGGAATTTTATAGAAAAGGAAATTACTTAATGGGAAAAAAAAATCCAAATATACATGCAATCTATTTAATACAAATAAAGAGAAATGATAAACCATTCATACAAAACATACTGGCAAAAATTTAAAGTCAATATTGCAAATGTTAGAATGATATTAAGGAACAGAAAAAACACAGCAATGCTGGTTAGGTTAGAAATGGATCCAGTCATTTGGAGAAAACTGGACAATAGTCAGAAAGGTTATATCCCACCCATAATCTAATCATTTTACTTTTGGTATATATCTCAGAAACACTCATTCATAGTCTCATAAGGAGACTATGCATCTGAAAGTTCACGACCTCATTGTTTATAACAGTAAAAATTTGAAGTGAACTCAAGTATTCAAGAAGAAATGAATTTATCAGTTGACGCATTAAATATTATAGACTTAATGAAAATGAATTTAATATATGTGATGTATACTTACTTATATGCACAGATTTGAAAGAAACACTTTTAAGGGATAGCAGGAAGTTATAAAACAACACACATGGCAGGCTACCATTTACTTAAATTGGAAATACACAAAGCAATTCCATGTGTGTTGAAATATATGCTTGTAATTAAAATATAAACAAATGGAAGTTGATTCATGACAGTGATTGCCTCTGGGGAAGAAGGAAGTAAATAAGATTATAGAGGGAACAATAAGAGACTTAGTTTTTAAGAAGCAAATATGTCAAAATATTACATTTGTTAATTTTGTGTAGTAAGGAAAAAGATGTATCATTTATATGTTTATGATTTTTAATATTAAAACACCACTATCTAGCAACTGAAGTTTATCTATGGTGTGAGTTAGGAATTCTGGCTGCCCCTCTGACTGGTGAGGGGGAGGCATTGTCGTATTGAAGGAAGCTTCCCGGCTGTGGCAAACAGCAAATAGACTTGACTTTACCACCTGGTACTTGGCATTGGGAAGTCCCCCAGTTCATCTACTGTGAATGAGAGTTCTCTGAGTTCCTTGATAAATAATCTGGAGAATGACTGACAACAGAATAAGAGGGATGCCAGAATGGCATCTGAAGAACTGAATTTAAATTTCATTTTGCCTCTAATATTAGTGTGATCTTGGAAATGCATTCTTTTACATACTTAAATTTTATTTTCCATATTTGTGAAGTAAAAAGTAATTCTTACCTCAAAAGCATTTTGAGAAGATTGAACTGATTCATGCGTAGTTTCTTGATCTCATAGTGTTTATAACTGTGTGGGAAGGAACATTTGTGATGTATCCCTATTTTCTTATTAACTACATTGAGCTTTGGTGTGACCCAAGATTTTCCTTAGACATATCTTAAACACTGTTACTGTGAAATCTCAATGTAGATTTTAGTAATAAATGTTATTTGCTAGAATACAGGCCAATAAATATTTTATGTGGATAGAATAACATCATATTAACCATTTACTATGACTTAAGATAGAGATAAAAATATTTTAGCATTATCTACAACATATATAAAATTTTGATTTTCATGTAACATAACTGAAACTAGCCTTTTGTTACATTGCCAATTAATTTGTTTGAAATCTTGTTGCCTAATGTTTGTTACTAGCGACTTCTCTGTATTCCATTCTTCCTGGAAGGGCAAAGTATATTCTCTCTGTGTTCTATTTCTTATAAATTAATATTTGAGCTGCATGTTTTGGTAAGTATCAAAAAAATCAACAAATCATGAAGATATCTCTAGGTAAGTTGAGACAGCAGAAAAATAATAAGAATAGAACTATGATCTGTCAAAAGCACCAACAAAAAGATTGCATTATCTATTGTTTAGAAAATCAGCCACTGAATTGTGTTTTTCTGATTTGGCTGATGTCTCTTGGACTTTCCTTAACATAAACTAGGATATATTAAGAAAATAATTGTGTTTTAAAAATGACCTCATATTTCATTTTTAAAAAATAACTTTCTCGCTCAATCAAAGATAAACTACAATTGGGATGTTTTCCCTTCCTCAATTTTATCATTTTATTTTATTTATTTTTTTTTAAAGTGCTTTTTTTTTTTTTTAAAGATTTATTTACACAAGCACTGGGTACAGTCAGAAGCGCGGGAGGGTGAGAGAATTCACCAAGGCCAGAGCAGGGAGCAGAGCAGGCAGAAGGACCAAGGTACACTGCTGAAGGGAGCAGCGGGCGGCAGGAGAGGTCTGCGTGCCATGTGGGACCCTCCTCCGGTGGCGGGGGAGCAGCCGTGGATGGAACCAGCGCCGCAGAGGCTGCGGGCAGCTTCGGAACCCATCGCTCAACCGCTGCACCACCGGGGAGGCCCAATTTTATCACTTTAAAAACAGGTTATGAAGTGTGAAATTTCCCAATTTTATAAAACTTTCTATGTGGGCTTTAACTATTTTTATTTTACTAACCAGGTTTTTCTTCATTGCTGCAATCTTATAAATGGCACAGGATGATGGGTGTTTATAATATTGATGATTATGTCTGAGGTATATATTTTTGTGCTTGGGTGTATATAGGAAAAAGTCATAATGTATCATCTTACAGATAACCACATCCTGAATATTTGGATGGGGAGATGTAAAAATAAATGCTGAGTTTAAATACACAAGTTTAATGGTTTAAAGCCATGCTTGTAGTCAGCTACCGAAAGGCCAAGTTCCTAAATATGGCATTTGGTTCACTAATGAAAACAAACACCCTGGCACCTGCCACACAAAAGACATTTGATTAACTAGTTGGAACTTGATTGCTACAAAATTAGAAACAGAGGAAATTATAGGGAGGGAAGGAAAAGACTAGGTTCAGTTCCATTTCCCTATTTTGTTGATAGTGGATAAATATAGCCCATGATTTAAAACTCTTCTTGGCCCCATGTCCATTCCAGATCACAGAAAGAACACTCAAAGGATGATCATTGTGTGAATACACCAAAGAGGAGGTGTTTATAATTTTTCAGTATATCGATATTTCTTATTAATTTTTGAACAGTATTTCTTTGGTTAGTAAGAAACTTCTAAGAGACAGAGGGCATGAGATCTACCTTATAAGACTAGTAAGTGTGTACCTCATTTTCAGCCAATTGATCTACTATGTGCATGTATTTTCCTGTTGTGAATAATACTGTTGACTAAGTGAACATCTCACATCATGACTAAGTGAACATCTCACATCATGTAACATCTTAACCTTTGTTTCAGACTCTCCAGATACACCCTGAAGTATCTCATTATACCCCGAAGTACCTTACAGTCTTGTACCTTGGGATTGTGACTGGAAAGGTGGTGGAGGGGGCAAGGTGAGGAGTTGTGAAGCACACCATTCAAGTGTGGGAAACAACACATATATATTCCTTTAGAACATTGAGAGAGCTTATCAACATATCACAGGCTCTGAAATTTCATTAGGAAAGAAGCTGGTTTAATTATATTTAAGGATAAGTTAAATGAGAAGTCTGTTAAAATGAAGAGAAGTGTGCGTTAGAGAGAATCAGTGCTGCAATGAGTATTTGTTGTTATAAAAAAATCTGTTAAGTGGGTTGGGGCAGGAAAAAAGATGAGGATAAAAATGATTCTAAAAAAGATAGAACAAATTGGAATAAAGGGAAGTGTTACAGTAAGGGAAGATGAATCTTAAAAGGGAAATAAAACAATATGAGACTGTTTAGGATCGAATGCACTTTTTAAAATGAATAAAACTTTTAAACTATCTGCCCTTCAGGGCTGGTGCTAAAGAAAAACAAACTATTCTGTTGATTAAGGACATTTCTATTTCACTGAAATATCATTACTCTATGTCTTATATATAGTAGATCTAACCTTTAGAAACTCACATTAGTACTGAGATTGAAGATAAATCTTGATAATTTCTGGGAACTTTTTGTTTAATCTTAATTTCTTGAATGGGAATATTCAAAATATACACTCTCTCACCCCCATCATCAACAAAAACTTTCTAAAAGGAGTTATTTAAAGATTAAGGACTTACAAACTAATTGAACTTTATGATTTTTTTTGCCCTCTCCTCATATTTCACATAACACAGACATGTGAGTAAGCTTTAATAGGATATGTGGTAAAGAATCCCTAGTTCTTTTTTTTTTAAAGATATATTTCTTATTTATACAATAGCTGGGGTACAGGTCAGAGGCACGGGAGGGTAAGAGAATTCACCAGAGACAGAGTGGGGAACAGAACTGGCATACACATCGAAGACACTGCTGAGGGGAGCAGCGGGAGAGTCAGGAGAGGTCTGCTGTGCCATTTGGGTGGCTCCTTGGCTGGCTGGGAATGGAAC